TAGGCTAAGCTATGGATGTTTGGCAGGTTGGGTGTATTAAATGCATCTTTGACTTCATGGTATTTTCAACTTACAACGGGTTTATGAGGATGTAACCCCGTTGTAAGTTGAACAGCATTTGTATTATTTTTAAGCCTTTTAACATAATAGAGTCTTCATGCATTGTAGAATTTTGGTTTTCAGAAGTGGATGATTTTGTTTCCCCTCTCCGTTTTTCCCTCTGAGCATATCTGTCTAGTGCTTGAGCAGTTACTGCTATCTGTCCCCTAACCTCCAGTGTGGAACCAGGTCCTTCAGCAGCATTTTAGAGCTTCTTCCCCACAGTGACATTGGGGCTGTGGTAGATTCTGACCCTTGGCTGAAGTGGGGAGGGGGCTGCTTAAGGTCCAGTCTCCTTAGTCCTGCAGCTTGCTGAAAACCATAGTCCTAAATGAGGTTTAATAGCAGTTGGTGTTGTGCCTCATGTTGGCTTTCTTTTCCAAAACTTCAACCAGTGAATCTGGCCTTGGTTCCCATCTCATTTTGAGCACTTTTTCCCTCCTTGTTATCGCCCTAAGTTCCTAGTCACCAGTGCTGGCTTTTGACTTCAAAGTCTAGAAGACCTGTGATTTCACCCTCGTTCACTGCTGTGTTTTTGTTGTTGTCATTGTTGTTCTGTTGTTGCTGTACTGAGATATTTATTTTATTTTGGATCTCAAAAATATTTATATTTTACCTATAATTGCTGTGTCTTTGGAGCTGAGGAAATATGTCAAAATAAGAATTTACTGAGCTATTTTGATAAGACATCTGTAAAAAATATAAAGTACAATATAAAATCTAGCTGATTTTGGCATTTTATTCTAGAAACTCTTTGCTTAATTGTAAGCAATGAAAATGAAAGATTGAGAGTCAACAATAGCTACCATTTATTAAATATCCTATATACTAATCATTTTATTTGGTACTTCACACTTAACCACATCACACTTTGGTATCCCAGATTCATAGTGGAATTATCCACTTATTCCCGATGAGGAAGGCAAGGCTTTGAGAGGTCAAATACCTTTACTAAAGTAGCATAGCTAGGAAGTGAGGAAACTAGCAGTTGAGGCCAAATTATCATAAGTCCTATGTCTTAGAACTGTAAGATAGGAACAATCTCAGTTTTTTATAGATCTTAATGATTAAAGTAGCCAAAGACCTAATAGATGAAACTCCAAGGAAATTGTATTTTACTTTCTCTTGCATATCATTTCTGCATTAATCTTACTAAAACACAACACTCCTTTAACATCGCTCATGTTTCCCTATTTCCATAGTGTCAAATTTAAAATCTCACAGCCTTGCAGTGAGTGCAGAGGTCTGGATCCACAGCCCCGACTTGGGCGGCTGCAGCCTCACTGGTGCAAGGCTCCTGCCTACTCCTTGCCCCCCAAGAGCCCAGGGAGGCCCAGGTCCACAACCCTGACTTGGGCAGCTGCAGCCATGCCCAAAACGGTGGGGCTGCTACCTGTAGCTCCTGGCCCTCTGGAGCATGCAGCCCCTGCTGTGCTTCCTCACAGCCTGGGGCTGGGGCTCTAGGTCCTTGCTGGGCCCCGGCCAGTGTCCAGGGCAGGGGCAACGTCTCCCCGAGCTCCCTCGGTGGCTCCAGTGCTCAGGGGCGGCCCAGAGCTCCCCCTCACCGGGCTTGGGGCCCTGCCCAGGATGGGCATCTCTAGGAGTGGATCTCAGGCCTTGGGCCGGCCATTGGGAGTGATACTGTGCAGACCTATATGGGGTAGACCCTGGGGATGCGACCCTGGGCATGCGACCCTGGGTGGGTCTGTGCAGACAGCCTCCTCCAGAGGCGCAGGAATCCAGTGCTCTCTGCGAGGTGGGCATGGTGACTGCACTGCTGGCTGATCCCCGAAGTGGGCACCACTCTCACTTCCTGCCCCTGGCCCCTGAAGCGTGGCTCCAGCACTGCCTCCTCCCATCACCCTCCCTGCAGCAGTGGCAGGAGAGAGCAGTGACTTGGGGAGAGTTTCTGGAGCTGCAGAGGCTCCGGGCCTGGGGCTGGGTCCTGCCTGGCTGTGTAAGGGTGAGGGCAGTGCAGTCAGCCGCCTCCTGGAGGTAGGGCACTAGAGACTCACCACAGCTATTGCTGCTCCTGCAGCCACTCCTGCCTCCACCGCCCACACCTCCTCACTACAGATGGCCTGCTGCCATCAGTAGCATGAATTCTCTTTAATATGCCTTGCTCATTATTTTTTCTGTGCCACTTTTTATAGCATAGTACGGTCTTTAGGACTCTCTCTCCAACTGCTTGCCTTTCAGATGCAAGCCTCTTCTAGTAACTTCACTTTCTTCATAAATCTTTATCTGTCTGCAACAGTTTACAGTGAACCTTTTTAGAACATTAGATGTTATAGTTGATGTCACACATATAGCATCTATTTGTGCTTTATGTTTAAGTTTTGTTACTGAGATTGTGATTTCCCTGATTGTTTCTATACATCTCCTAATTATCTCTGCAGCATTCTTAAGATGTAGTATATGGAAATAACTTCAGAAATTGCAACTTTTAACCAGTAGCTTGAAGAAATAAAGGATGTCTTCTCATTCAATTTGAATTTGTGTAGCAAGTCATCATGACTTTCTTATAACATTTATCATTAGCTTCCTCTTTTTTGTCTGAGAAGATCAGTATGGTCTATTTCAAAAAATGAAAGTAAATTAAACCACAGTTATTTTCCTGCTCCCATCTTCCCTAAATACTCAGCATGCTGATCACCACAATATTCGGGGTGGGGTGAGAAAAGTGAGTCTCTTGGGCAGTGTCTTACATGGCTGTTGGAGCCGGGTGCCGAATCATTGTGCTTTTACTTTCCGCTTTGAGAAATTGTAGGGTTATGGAGTTTCTCTTGTTGAGCTGTGCTGCTTTGTGGGAGGGGTGATGCAGGTAAAATGAAACTTCTTACTCTCTCCACTGCATCTATTCTGGGTTTTTTGCCTCAGTAGTGTGCTGAAACTTTTCTGCGGGATTCCTAGACTCCCACAAAGGTGCTCTCGTCCACAAGTTGTTGTGAAAATTGATGCTTCTTGGGGGCATGTGACAATAGAAAGCACCTCTTCTGCCATCTTGCTGATACTACCTTTGTCACATTTTACTCTTAACAAGCCCTTGATGAGGGCTTTTATATTAATGAGCTTGTAAATTTGATGAATATAGATAATGCCATGGCATTATTTCAAGGTGACTTTTTGTGAGCTGTGGGGGTAAGTCACACAAAATAAGAACACAGTAAAACCATGAGGCATAATCAGATAACTTATATATTCATTGATGCTCAATATTAATGCACTGAGTCATCTTTGAACACAGTGGTGCTTTGTCAGCTGCTTCTTGTGGAAACAAATAATACTTGATGCTAATTTTGTGGAATATATTTTCCTGGACTTTTTTTTTCAGATGGACGATATTCCCCTTGGCTAATAAATGTGTATAAGTTACCTCAGTATATCAGTATATCAAATCTTTGGTCATATAAAGTATTTTATTAACCCTCAACATTGGTGTAGACATTATAGAAATATTATCAAGTTAGTCTTCCTGCTTTCAGTAACTTTTCTTTCAGGTTACTTGTGTTAAGATCTGGAATTTTTACTGTCTTTTGAAAAGGTCCTATGAGAGCTGGTCCCAGTCATACCAGCTTTTTTTCATCGTGGATGTGTGAAATTGTTTTCCAACTCAGTGACATCTTACATACTTTTCTCATTTGCAGGTGACACCATAACTCGTTTTCTCCCTTTGCACACACTTTTCATGTCATGATTTTTTTGCATGTATTGGGCCTTGACACTTCTTCAGAGAAGAGTTTATTGATCTGCTCATTGTAAATTGTATACCACAGCTAAAAATCTTTCATTGTACCTGTATTAGTCTGTTCTCATGCTGCTAATAAAGACATATCTGAGACTGGGTAATTTATAAAGAAGAGATTTAATGTACTCACAGTTCCACGTGGCTGGGGAGACCTTGCAATCACAGTGGAAGGCAAAGGAGGAGCAAAGTCACATCTTAATGGCAGCAGACAAGAGAGCATGTGCTCGGGAACTCCTCTTTATAAAAACCATCAGATCTTGTGAGACTCGTTCACTATTATGAGAACAGCTTGGGAAAGACCCGTCCCCATGATTCAATTACCTCTCACCAGGTCTCTCCCACAACACATGGGAATTATGGGAGCTACAAGTCAAGATGAGATTTGGGTGGGGACACAGCCAAACCACATCAGTACCTTTTCATTTTCATTTTAGATTTATTACTGTCCATGTCTGTCTGATTCCCTGTCCAGACCAAGAGATTTCTGAAGATAGTAATCCTGTTCATTTTTGTTCACTGATGAATTTTTGACAGTTGGCACAGGGACTGGCATTATAGTGGATGCTGCTTATGAAGTAGTCAGAGAGAATCCAAGGACCTTTCTGTTACTAGGTTCAGAATTCCTCTACCAGACTTAGAATTCCTCTGCTGACATTGTGTTGCAAGAAATACAATACCAATATAATGGAGTATGCATTAAACTTTTCAAAGTTTAATTGTGTGGGTTCCTCCCTGCCACAACCCCCCACATTTTTCCAGATCTTTTTTTTTAACCAAGGGTATGAGCAAACTTTCATGCAGAAAAATGTTAAAGGACATAAATAATTTTAAAAAATTAATCTGAGCAAGACTTGGGTAGTATCATGGGTTTTCCTTGAAGGAAAAAAGCTTAGAGACTGTTCTTAAAAAAGTGTGTTTTAAGGATAGTATTATAAAAAGTAAAACTGAGGACTTACACAGTAAAACCCAAATCTCTTTAATTCAGTTCACTTTCACTGTTGCAGTATATCATTATAAAAAGGTCTTTGATAATTAGATATACTTTTTATTTGCATAAATTTAAAATGTGAGTTAAACAAGTAAAAGACAGGAAACAGTTTGCTGAGATTTTTTTCAGAGATAATATGGCTGTCTTTTGTGGCTCTGGTTCTAGGCAGTATGAAACTGTGGTTCCACTTGAAGATTCTATTGTGACTGAGGTTACAGCAACTCTACAAGAATGGGCAAGTTTGTGGAAACAGTTGTATGTGGTAAGTAGTTGATTACTGGTTTATTGGATCATTAAAGTTTAGTGTACCAAGTAAAAATATTAACTTGTGCTAAGTATGCAGTTTTAGATTTCTGAATATTTGCAGTTTATCAAATGTATATTCTTAGTATTTACTGAAACATAGCAGACTGAGTTTTTTCAACCTGAGGAGCACACATTATTGTTCATATGCCTGTAGTTTCTCTACTCCAGTCGCTGGAATATGTTACATAGCACCAGGGATCTTAGCTGTCTTACTCATTGTTGTGTCCCCAGATGCTTTCATAAAACAGATAATTACAGAACAAATGAACCAACTTGAGAGTTATTTATTTTTATCTTTTGTGAACCTAATGGTGGATATAAAGGCCAATAAATTGTGTTAACAGTTTATAGCAGCTACTAAGCTTCAAGGATATGTCATATCTGACACTTTGCTGGCCCAATAAATTAATAGAAAATGTAATAGAAGCCAGGCATGGTGGCTCACACCTGTAATCCTAGTGCTTTGGGAAGCTGAGGCAGGAGGATTGCTTAAGGCCAGGAGTTTGAAACTACTTTGGGGACCACCATCTCTACACAAAATTAAAAATTTAGTTGGGTATGGTGGTGTGTGCCTGTAGTCCTAGCTACTTGGGAGGCTAAGGAATGAGACCCTGTCTCTTAAAAAAAAAGTAATAGAAACCTAATAAAAAAGTAATAAAGTTCTCAGAAAACTTAGAAAGTAGAGAGTGATAAGATGTAGAAATAATCATAATATCTACACTAAAAATAAGTGACAGGGTTTGAACTCTGGACAATATGGAGTAAGCACATTTTATTTTACTTCTACTAATACAACAAAAAGCCCTGGATAAAGCACATAATTCACCTCCTGGAAAACTCAGAAAGTTAGAAAAAAGAGAATGAACTGCCAAGGGATTTTGGGGCTCAGGATCAAGTGAATTTTCTTTCTCTCTCTCTCTCCTTTTTTCCCTTTCCTTACCTTCATATATCCTGACCTGGTCTCTGGAGAGGCACACAACTTGGAAATGCCAGTGGGTAGAAACCAACAAAGGAAAATTAGTGCCAAGGAAAGCCTGTTCTCTCTAGCCAGAGGATAGCCCCAAAAGACAGAAACTTTTTTAGTAATACTTTACTGTTCTCTAAGAGAACACACAATAAAAGCTGTATTTCTCTCCTACCCTAACAGGCATTTCAGCAGTGGCATCCATAACCAGTGCTGTTTTATACATACATCCTTCCCCTCCTACAGTAACAAGAGGATGCCCCTCTCCAGTGGAGACTGTAAAATGAACTGGAAAAATCTGGAAAAATGTGGGGGTGGGTGGCTGGGAGGAACTCAGAAAATTAGACATTCACCCCCTACCCTATAGTAATGAAGTGGTGCCCCACCTCAGCGGAATATGAAGTAAGGAGGAGGTAACTTTCCATGGAGAAACCTGTGGTTGGAACTCTTGACCTCTACTTTCCTTGTTGTGCTTTCCCCAGCTGAGTCTGTGGGCAAGACTCTGACTTCCACCCTCGCTTCCCCACTGCATTGATGAAGCAGACCCTGTGGGATAGTACCCTGTCTTCCATCCTTGCCCTGCTAAAATGAGGCAGTGCTTGTCCCCACCCAAACCCAAACTGAGGAGATAGTGGGGTGAAGTTATATCATCTACATAACACAAATGAGGGAAATTAGAAAAGCACTGCAGAGATTTTTATAACTAGATTTACATTCATGCACAGCTCATAAAGGTGAGAAGGTTGCAGTTTTAAGCAGGTTGACTACTTGCTAAAATAGATGATTTAAATAGGAACCAGAGTGTCATAGTACAATAATGTTCAGGATATGGTGCAGAATTACTTGTCGTATGAAAAATCAGGAAAATCTAAACTCAGCAGATGCTGACACTGAGATGACACAGATGTGGAATGATTGACAAGGACATTTAAACAGCTTTTGTAAAAATGCTTCAACAAGCAATTACAAACACTCTTGAAACAAACAAACATAGACAACCTTAGGAACAAAGTAAAAACTATAAAGAACCAAATGAAAATGATAGAACTGAAATATACAATAACCAAAATTAAAAATATATAAGCTCAATAGCAGCCTATAGAAATTATAGAGAAATGAATTGGTCAATTTGAAGATAGTTCACTAGAAATTCTCCCGTACAAATAATGGAGAGAAAAATAGAAAAAATGAGCTCTGCTTCCAGAGACCTGTGGGACAATAAGATAAGATGTAACACTGTAGCCTCAGAATACTAGATAGAGAGGACAGAATGTGGAGTAAAAAAAAAAAAAAATTTTTTTTCTTTTTTTTAAATGAAATAATGGCTGAAATTTCCCAGTTTGGCAGAAGACATAAGCATCTTAGATTCAGGAAGCTTAGTGAACTCCAAATGGGAAAACCCCAAAGAAATCCATACTCAGACACATCATAGTCCAAATTCTGAAAATTAAAGCCAAACAAGAAATCTTGAAAGTAGCTAGAGGACATTTAACACATTACCTGTGACAACAATTTGAGTAACAGGTTTCTCATCAGAAAGTATGGCAGACAGGAAGTATCCCATCATTTTTCAACTGCTTAAAGAAAAAAAAACCAAAAAAACAAGCAGATTATCCTGAATTGTGTATCCAGCAAAAATATGCTTCAGGAATGAAGGGGTAATCAACCCATATCAGAAGGAGGAAAGTAAGAAAATTTGTTGACAGGAGATTGGTTATAAAAGAATGACTATAAAAGGAAGTTGTTCAGAAAGAAAGGAAGTGACAACAGGATACTTGGAACATTAGGAATGAAGAAAGCAATGGAAAGGGTAGATTAATTCTCTCTTCAGTTTTTAAAGTTATGTTTGATAATACAAAGCAAAAATTATAATGTTGATACAATTCTCAGTGTATGTTGAATTAATATTTAAGAAAACTGTTGGCCGGGTGTGGTGGCTCACGCCTGTAATCCCAGCACTTTGGGAGGCCGAGGTGGGTGGATCACTTGAGGTCAGGAGTTGAGACTAGCCTGGCCAACGTGGTGAAACCCTGTCTCTACTAAAAATAGAAAAATTAGCCAGGCATGGCGTTGCATGCTTGTATTCCCAGCTACATGGGAGGCTGAGACAGGAGAATCGCTTGAACCTGGGAGGCGGAGGTTGCAGTAAGCCAAGGTTGTGCCATTGCACTCTACCCTGGGTGATGAGAGCAAAACTCCATCTAAAAAAAAACCAAAAAACTGTTTTATAAAGTGGAGAGGGAAAAGGACATAAATTATGATAGAGTAATTACATTCTATTTTAAGTATTAAAACATTCGGCCGGGTGTGGTGGCTCATGCCTGTAATCCCAGCACTTTGGGAGGCCAAGGTGGGCAGATCATGAGGTCAGGAGATCGAGACCATCCTAGCTAACACGGTGAAACCCTGTCTCTACTAAAAATACAAAAAAATTAGCCAGATGTGGTGGCGTGTGTCTGTAGTCCCAAGCTACTCGTGAGGCTGAGGCAGGAGAATGGTGTGAACCAGGAGGCAGAGCTTACAGTGAGCTGAGATCGTGCCAGTGCACTCCAGCCTGGGTGACAGAGCGAGACTCTGTCTCGAAAAACAACAACAACAAAAATTAATACTGGTAGACTGAGCAGTTCCGTATGTATATTGCAATCTCTAGAGCAATCATTAAGATATTACATAAAGTGATGTAATAAAAAGTACTGTAAATCAAAATAGAATACTAAAAATGTTCAAATAACCTACAGAAAAATAAGAACAGGGGTGAAACCCCGTCTCTACTAAAAAAATACAAAAAACTAGCCAGGCGAGGTGGCAGGCGCCTGTAGTCCCAGCTACTTGGGAGGCTGAGGCAGGAGAATGGCGTAAACCCGGGAGGCGGAGCTTACAGTGAGCTGAGATCCAGCCACTGCACTCCAGTCTGGGCAACAGAGCGAGACTCTGTCTCAAAAAAAAAAAGAAAGAAAAATAAGAAAAGGAACATAGAGGCAGGTAAAATAGAGGGAGCAAACACAAAAGTAAATACTAAAATGGTAGACTTAAATCCTAGTATATGAATAATTACAAGATAGAGTTTAGCAGAATTGTACAATAAAAGAAAGATATGTTGTTTATATGAGACTCACTTCAAACTCACTTGTCTATATGATGATATAGGGAGGCTTACAGATAGAAAAATATATGCTATGCAAACATGAAAGAAAAACAGGATAATTATATTAATAACATGTCATTATATTGTGAATAATTTTTTCCTTAAATAAATACTATTAATTGTACTAATATAAGAAAAATTCAATATCAGAGCAAAGAAAACTACCAGGAACAAAGAGACAATACAAAATGATAGAAGGATCAATTCATTGGGAAGACAAAATAATCTTAATCTAACAGAGGTGCAAAATAAATAAAGAAAAACCTGAAAAAACTGAATAGAGAAAAGAGAAAAAAAATCACTGTTGTAGTTGGGGGTTAATGACCCATTCTCTTTGTAATCTGTATAACCACTAGGCAATAGTCATCGGGAATAGGGAAGAACGAAACAGTGCAATCAACCATAGGCTCTAATTGAAATTTATAGAATACTTAATAAAATCAGGATACAGATTCTTTTCAGTCAAACATGTTCATTCACCAAGATAGACAATATCTTAGTTCATAGAGCAAATCTCAACAAGTTTGTAGTAATTGAAGTCATACAAAGGATATTCTAACCATAATGGAAACAAATTAGAAATCAGTAACAAGAAAAAACAAAAAACCAGGAAAACCTTAAAAATTAAACAACCCACTACTAAATGATCTGTGTCAAAGAGGAAACTGTGAGAGAAATAAAAGATATATCAAAGTGAATTTAAAAGAAAATATATTAAAATCTGTGGGATACTGCAAAAGCATTGTTGAAAGGAAAATGTATGCTTTAAGTCCTAATAATAGGGAAAAAAAAAGCAAGGTTTCAAATCAGACAATTTCAGCTCCTGCTCTACTGTAAGAAACTAAAA